GATCCACCAGTGTTTGGGTTCATATGTGCTCTGGATGTAGGTGAACTACAACTCCCCAAATCAAGGTGAATTTTCCCCAAAGACCTCCAGTATTATTTGCTGGTCATGGGGGCTCTGTGTGCCAAGTTTGGTCCAATTCCATCTTTGGTGGAGTTCAGAGTGCTCATTGATTGCAGGTGAACTATTAATCCCAGTGCCTACAGGTCCAAAATGCGTAGGTCAATTCTCCTCAAAACCCACCAGTATTCAATTTTGGGCATTTCAGGTATGCATGCCAAGTTTGGTCCAGATCCATCATTGTTTGGGTTCATAGTGCGCTCTGGATGTAGGAGAACTACAACTGCTAAAAATCTCTCTAAAAACCTCTAGTATATTTGGTTGGTCTGCCAAGTTTTTTTTATTTTTTAAATTTATTTCTTCATACAGATAACAAAACAATACAATATGAACTTTAGCCATCTAAAAGATAACATAAAAAATGTTTACAATCTTTATGGCTGGATACAAGTTCCAATTGTGACTCCCTTTACTGTATATCTTAATTAATTATCCATTTAAACCCCCCATATCACCCACCCCCACCCTCTGGGAGGGAGGTTGATCTGCCAAGTTAGTTCCAGGTCTATCATTGATGGAGTTCAGAGTGTAGGTCTTAGATTGCAGGTGAACTATACATCCCAGGGCCTACAACTCCTATGAATCATGGTGAATTCTCCCCAAACCTCTCCAGTATGTTCAGTTGCTGATCAATTCCTCTGTTTGCTGTGTGCCATAGAAAAGAGTAGGGAGGGGTTATGGGAGAGGCAATGGGCAGGATCATACAAATACCACACCAATGGAGAGAGTCAGAAACACTGGGATGTCTGTGGTGAAGGAAAACCAGAAAATCTGGGATGGAATTGTCCCCGTATGAAAGCCTTCACTTGGGTGGTGGGCAGGATTGTGTTTGTGGAGGACATTGGCAGGGCTCTTGGACATGTTCATGGTTCTCACAATAACCTGCAATGTCACTGGAGGGAGCGCCTTTGGTGTTTCCTGAGTAGTGGGAGCAAGAGCTGTTTGTGGAGGCAGGAGCTTGTCTGGGTAAGTGGGCACCCCAGCTACACACACATATATTTTCACTTTTATTATGTGTATAGATATATACTGTCGTTTAAAAATGATTTTAAAGTTTATAGGTTTTGTTGGGTCTTGTGTTTTGTTTCAAGGGAGGAAGAAATCTCTTGCAATGGGCCACTCTCCCAGAAACAAGCAGAATACTTTCTGTCCCAGCAGGTATGTCAGTTATGGATCTCCCTTGATAGAGATGCTTAATATTATCTATGGTGGCTGTTCTTGTTCACTGAGAGTAGTGTTGTAATTGATTTTTATGGATAAATGCTTTTCAAATGTTTGTACATCATGTTCTCTTAGAGATTCTATTTTAGTTTGCACTAGCATAAATACATGATATTACCTGGGCATCAGAGCACCCGCTCTGATGCAGAGTTGTGTTGTCAAAGGCTTTCATGGCTGCAATCACTGAGTTGTTTTAAGTTTTTTGGGATTTATGGCCATGTTTCATACAGCCTGAAAAACATGGCCATACAGCTCGAAAAACTTACAGCAAACCAGATGCAGAGTTGTTTGTTCTGCTCTACAGTCACACAAAGTGGAGGATTCTTCTAGGTGGTGTCATTTTGCCAGGTTGTCCTTTGATCTGCTCACTCCACTTCTGAGTCTGTTCATGGATTTCCACATTGCCCATTCTTGGTTTGCTCCTGGAGGAAGACCCTCGTGGGGAGCCACCCAGTTGAAACTGCCTGATTTTTCTGCTCACAGGGATATTCTTGCTGTTGCTGGAGGAACATTAAGAGGAGTGGTGGTTCTCATGAAACTTGATATTTAGGGTGGGAACAGTGTTTGAGTTCTTGGCCTTCCCAGATAACTCTCAATTTCCTATTGGCTCCATGAACCCTAGGTGGAAAGCACACATTTGTGTCTTGACAGGGTTAAGCTTCAGGTAGCTATCTTTCTAGTGGCTTCCTCCCTCCATTCCCCAAACTCTCTTCCTTTTCCTTCCCTTCCCTTCCTTTTCTCTTTCTTCCTTTCTTTCCGCAGACCCGCCCCTTTCTCCCTTCTCTAGCTTCTGAGAGAGCCTATCTTGCAATGTCTCCATGTGACTTTCTCCATCGTTTCTCTCTTCCCCTCATACATACATATATCCATCACCTTTCTTTCACCAGGCCACTTCACCTGGCAACAGCCAATCCAGAGATGGCACAAAGTGCCACTTCACCTGGCAACAACATTGGTTGGTACAACTAGACATACATACAAACATACATTGACTTTATATGTATAGATTGCAAGCTAATTTGAGCCCCGTTTAGGAGAAAAGCAGGACATAAATAAATAGGTCTCAGCGTACACCCCTAGGAGCAGTGCCACTCCAAACAAAGACTGTTTTTCACGGTGTTGTCGAAGGCTTTCATGGCAGGAATCACTGGGTTGCTGAGAGTTTTCTGGGCTGCATGGCCATGTTCCAGAAGCATTCTCTCCTGAAGTTTTGCCCAGATCTATGGCATTGGCAGGCATCCTCAGAGGTTGTGAAGTCTGTTGGAAACTAGGCAAGTGAGAATTATATATATACTGTATATATGTGTGTGCGTGGAAAATTATGTCTAGGATGGGAGAAACTCTTGTCAGTTGGAGGCAGGTGTGAATGTTGCAATTGACCAGCTTGATTAGCATTGACTAGCCTTGCAGCTTCAAAGCCTGGCTGTTTACTGCTTGGTGGAATTCTTTGCTGGGAGGTGTTTGCTGGCCCTGATTGTTTCCTGTCTGGGTTTCCACTATTTTCTGAATGTTGTTCTTTATTTACTGTCCTCATTTTAAAGTTTTTTTTAATACTGGTAGCCAGATTCTGTTCATTTTCATGGTTTCCTCCTTTCTGTTGAAATTGTCCACATGCTTTTGGATTTCAATGGCTTTTCTGTGTAGTCTGACATGGTGGTTGTTAGAGTGGTCCAACATTTCTGTGTTCTCAAATAATATGCTGTGTCCAGCTTGGTTCATCAGATGCTCTGCTATGGCTGACTTCTCAGGTTGTATTAGTCTGCAGTGCCTTTCATGTTCCTTGATTTGTGTTTAGGCAATGCTGCTGTGTGTGGGGACTATGTAGTCTTGTCCATAGCTGCATGGTATATAGTAGACTCCTGCAGAGGTGAGAGCATCCCTCTTGTCCTTTGTTGAACGTAGCATTTGTTGAATTTTCTTGGTGGGTCTGCAGATAGTTTGCAGGTTGTTTGTCTTCATCAGCTTTCCTATATGGTCAGTGGTTCCCTTGATGTTTGGTAAAAACCCTTTTCCTCTGAGTGAGTCTTTGTCTTGACTCTTGTGGCTTGTTCTGATGTCTGTGGTGGTTTCCATTGGCCCCTAGAGCCCAGTTAAGCTGGTTCAGTTCACCTTGGAGAAGGTGGGCTTCACAGATTATTTTTGCACGGTCTGCCAGGGTTTTAATTGTTTTTCTTCTTCTGACTTGGGTGATGGTTGGAGTTTTTATGTAGGTATCTATCTGTGTGTACAGGTTTTCTTCTCTCCACTTCCTACATGACAGGTTTTGGTAGTTGGGAAGAATCTGGGAAGCCACATCCTGGCCTTTGGGTTTCCTTGCATTCCCTTCAGATCGCTCGCAAGAAAGCGGCATTAAAGTGGCATTCTTCTCTCAATCCCTTAAGCCATCTTTTTAGCACTCCTAATCAAATTAGCCAGCGCCTCTCCCTTTTGAGCATAGCATTACAAAGCTTGGGCTCAATCTCTCCATGGTAATTTGTACACAGGCGGTTGCTTGCCGTTCTCCCGAGGCAGGAGGTTTCTGTTGCTGTGGTGATAATAACATTATTAAGTCGTTTATTACAAAAAAATAATAACCCTGCAGATTCACGTTTCTTTTTTTCCTGTTTGCTCGAATGATGGTTGTTTTTCTTCTTTTTGAAAATAATTCCAGGCATATTTGTTGAAAAATGACGAGACAAAAGTGCTGTCTCCAGCCTCTTTGCAGAAGGAGCTGAACAACTTGCTAAAATTTAACCCAGATTTTTCAGAAGCGGTAAGTTTGATTTGACCACTCTCCCCCCCCCCCCCCCCCCCCCCGCTCCCCAGTCTGATACTGTGGGTCATGCCTCTGTCTCTCATTGGCCAAGATGCCGTGAGGTCATGGAAAGGCAGAGCAGGCAGAAGGCCTGCCATTGGTCGAGGGGCTCTAATCCTAAAGAGAGACATAGCTGTCTTGGTTCAGGGGTGTCAAACTCATTTTCATCGAGGGCCACCTCAACCTTATAGTCGCTTCAAAGGGCCATTGAATCCATAGACAATGAAACCAAGAATACAGAGGGCCAACTATGTTTTTTTAATTTATAGTAGTCACTGGTCTTTAGTTTTTACTCAGCTTGGGTCCCCAGATGTCATTGAATGGCAACTCCCATCACTTTTCATGATCTGCCAGGTGGACTGTGGATAATGGGAACTGCAACCCAGTGGCCCTTGTGCCGCTGAGACTGGGGAAAGGTGAAAGGACATTTTAAAATAAAACATCATCTCTGTAAGCCCTGTATCTCAATCCAAACCCCACTCTCTGAGGATGTTGACAAGATCCTTGGAGAGGCGAGAATGACCATACGCATCCTGGACCCCTGCCCATCCCGGCTGATAAAGGAAGCCAGCGGGTTTGGCAGAGTGAGTGAAGGGGGTGCTTAATGCCTCCTTGCAAGAAGGCAAGATTCCAGCAGGCCTAAAGGGGGCCGTCATCAAACCACTGTTGAAAAAACCATCACTGGACCCCACTCAATTGAACAACTTTTGGCCAGTTTCCAATCTCCCCTATTTGGACAGAGTCTTGGAATGTGTGGTGACCTCGCAACTCCAGATGTTCTTGGAAGAAACTGCTTTTCTAGTCCTGTTGCAGCCTGGCTTTAGGCCCGGACATGGAACTGAAACAGCCTTGGTCTCCTTAGTGGATTATTATTATTATTATTATTATTATTACTTAGAACTTTTATATACCGGTTTTCTCACCTCCAATGAGGGACTCAGGCTGATGTACAATAAGGGGGTTCATACACAATAGTTTAAAAACATCACATCAATAATACACTAATATAAACACATTAAAGTACTATCATATAATTATATAAAGCCAAGTCGTTAGCATAAAAATCACTATTCATCCCCATCCGTCTGTGCGGTCAAAAGCCATTGGATGATCTGTGTAAGGGGCTTGACAGGGGAGTGTGTCTCTGTTGTTTCTCTTAGACCTCTCAGTGGCTTTCAGTACCGTAGACCACAGTATCCTTCTGGGACGCCTCGCGGGAATGAGGCTCAGGGGCACTGTTTTGCAGTGGCTCCAGTTCTTCTTGGAAGGTCGTTCTCAGAAGGTGTTGCTGGGGGACACCTGTTCGGCCCCGCAACCATTGACTTGAGGGGTCCCGCAGGGCTCATACTGTCTCCTGTGTTGTTTATCATCTACATGAAGCCGCGGGTGGAGATCATCCAGAGCAGGGGTCCCCAAAGTACGGCCCGGGGGCCGGATCCGGCCCACCGGGCGCATTTATCCGGCCCCTGGCAGGGGCGGCTAAACCAATAGCAGCCTGGCTGCTGCTCCTCTCCCGCTCGGGGGCTGGGAAGGAAGAGGGAGGCGGAGGCGCGGGCGGTGTGAGTGCCGGGTCTGAATGGAGGGAGCGAGAAGGCAGGCAAGCAGATCAGGGCCTTCCTGCCCCCCTTCCAGCCCCCGGATGCTCCATCTCCGCCTGTAGAGCTCCAGGGTGTATGAGGCGTGGTGCTCCATGGCTAGGCTGCAGGGCTGGCAGGCAGCGGGAGGCGCGTCTGTCTCTTTTCTCCACGCTCCTAGCCTTCGGCCACTCTCCTCTTGCTGCTCCTGTTGCCCCCGGACGGGAGACCAGCAGCAGGCCAGTAGCAGGGCAGCAAGAGGAGAGCAGCTGAAGGCTAGGAGTGTGGAGAAGAGAGACAGGCGCGCCTCCCGCTGCCTGCCAGCCCTGCCTCGAACACCCTGGAGTTCTACAGATGGAGATGGGGCATCCGGGGGCTGGGGGTGGGGGCAGGAAGGCCCCGATCTGCTTGCCTGCCTGCCTGCCTGCCTGCCTTCCATCCTTCCTTCCCTCCTTTTGCCTTTCTTTCCCCTTTCCTTCCTTCCTTATATCCTTCTTTCCTTCCATCCTTCCTTCTTTCTGCCTTGATCCCTTCCCTCCCTTCCCCTTTCCTGGCTTTTCCATTTCTTCCTGCTTTCCTTCGGCACTTGGCCGCTCCCTCCCTCCATTCAGACTAAGCTCCGCCTCCTCATCCTCGCCCTTCGCCCTTCGCAGCAGCAGCAGCAGCAGCAGCAGCAGCAGCAGCAGCAGGGCAAGGGGCCACACCAAGGCCAGTATTCCATTTGCAGCATATCAGGATTTTGTGCCAAATTTGGTAAAGACCCATCATTGTTTGAGTTCACAGTGCTCTCTGGATGTAGGTAAACCACAACTCCAAAACTCAAGTCCAATGCCCTTCAGTTTACTTCAGGAGACTGTTGTTGTTGTTGTTGTTGTTGTTGTTGCTCCTGCAATAATTCTATCTTCCTGCCTGGCAGAAGGAAGGGGCTGGACTAAGTGACCTTTGGGGGTCCCTTCCAATTGTAGGAGTCTAATAATAATAATAATAATAATAATAATAATAATAATAATAATAATGCTATCTTCCTGCCTGGCAGAAAGAAGGGGCTGGACTAAGTGACCTTTGGGGGTCCCAAAGGGGCTTCCAATTGTAGGAGTCCAATAATAATAATAATAATAATAATAATAATATACTAATGCTATCTTCCTGCCTGGCAGAAAGAAGGGGCTAGACTAGATTTCCTTTGGCTGTTTGGAAGGGCCCCCAGGATCTGATCCTAGGTTTTCTGTTTATCCCAGATTATCTGGCAATGCAGATCCATATAATCCAGTTTAAAGCAGAAAACCTGGAATCAGATCCTGGGATATAGGGCGTCTGGAAGGGCCCACAGTCTCCTTGTGGAGACAAAAAGTGGTGTATAAATAAACATAATATTAAATTGTAGAACAGAAATCTGTTCCTGGTTTGAAAGTGTTATTTTCTGTTTAATTGTGCGGCCCTTACTTTGAAAGTAGTAGTTCTCATCCAGAAACTGTGTGGCTGCCACAAACTATTGGCCAAAAAGTTTGACCAATAGGCTGATCAGTAAACATATTCATGGGTTCCTGCTGTTATAGTAAACCTGTTACCCATGCTACGACATGCTTGAAGTCAAAATTTCATTTATTTGTAATTAGAAATAAATGTTTCACAATATATAAAACAAATGTTTCACAATATTCCCATGTAAACTATAGTCCGGCCCTCCAACAGTCTGAGGGACAGTGAACTGGCCCCCTGTTCAAAAAGTTTGAGGACCCCTGATCCAGGGTTTTGGAGTCTACTGCCATCTGTATTCAGATGACGTCCAACTCTCTCAGACCTTTCCACCTACTACTAAGGAGGTTGTCCAGGTCTGAACTGGTGATTGGTAGCTGTGATGGTCTGGATGTGGGCAAACAAATTGTAATTGAATCCAGACAAGATGGAGGTACACCTGATCAGTTGCAAGGCCAAACAGGGTATAGGGTTACAGCCTGTGCTGGATTGGGTTACACTCCCCCTGAAGACACAGGTTTGCAGCTTAGGAGTTCTCCTGGACTCATTGCTGAGCCTGGAATCCCAGGTTTCGGTGGTTGCCAAGGGAGCTTTTGCAGAATTAAAATTTGTTAGCCAGTTGTGCCTGTACTTTGGGAAGTCAGATTTGGCCATGATGGTCCACACTCTCATTTCATCTGGGATAGACTACTATGTGGGGTTGCCTTTGACGATTGTTTGGAAGTCCAGTGGGCAGCAGCCAGGTTCCTTACTGGGGCAACATACAAGGAGCATAGAACCTCCCTGTTACATCAGCTCCACTGGTTGCCAGTCTGCTATGGAGCACAATTCAAAGTGCTGGTCCTGGCCTATAAAACCTTAAATGGTTCTGATCCAACTTACCTGTTCGAACGCATCTCTTATGAGCCAACAAGAGCTTTAAAATCTGCTGGGAAGGCCCTGCTCTTGGTTCCACCCCCTTGCAAGTGCGATTGGTGGGGACGAAAGACAGGGCTTTCCCAGTGGTGGCCCCTCGGCTGTGGAACTCCCTCCCCAGTGACATCAGGCAGGCCCCATCTCTTCTGGTTTTCAGAAAAAAGCCAAAAACCTGGCTCTGTACACAAGTGTTTCAAGAATAACTTATATGGATTCTGACAGTCTGAGTAAGGATTATGAGCAAGGATTATGGATGAACTGAATTTTGTACTGTATATGTTTTAGTCTTCTTATTGTTCTATGTGTTTTATTTGCTTCACCATTTTAATTGTCTTAGTTAATGAGATATGTTTTATTGTTTTTAAGCGGCATTGAATTGTGCCAGAGTTGTAAGCCACCTTGGGTGCTTGAGTCCCCTGCAGGGTGAGAAAGGCAGGGTATAAATGAAGCAAATAATAAACAGATCGAACTGCAGCCCTCCAGATGTGGCTATATCCCAATTCCCATCAGCTCTAGTCATGAAGTCTAATGATGATGAGCACAGGAGTTGCAGTCCAGCATTTGAAGGGCTACAGAAAATGACATGGAGGGATGGAGTTGGCCCACGGGCCTTGAGTTTGATACAGACTGGTAGGGACCATTAGGAGTGATGGGAAAGCTGTCCTCAGCCTGCAGGTCACAATTTGTCCTATAGCTTCTTTCATGACTCACCAAAATGTTGCACGTGAAATCAGTACAGGCAGTCCCCAAGTTACAAACAAGATAGCTTCTGTAGGGTTGTTCTTAAGTTGAATTTATGTAAGTCAGAACAGTTACATTTTTAAAGTGTAACTCCAGTCATATATATATATATATATATATATATATATATATATATATATATATGCGCTTTGGATCGCATAGGGAAGGGTTAACACCCTTGTGGTGTTTGTTTTGCTGTCTATGTCCCTGTTCAGAAGATTTCATCTCACTTTTCATCCCTGTGAGAATTGGGTTTTGAAAAAATTAACTTGTTGTGGAAACAAGGATTGGTGACAAAACTGCAGTGAAGAGACCTTTTCCCCATGATAATAACTCTTTCGGGAGTAAATTTCCCTTCTGAGAGGTAGATTTCTCTCACTTCCTGTTGTCTCGCCCCCCATTCTTAAGTACGAGTCAGATGTAAGTTGTATGTTTGTAACTTGGGGACTGCCTGTATTTGGTATTGTTCCTAATTTATCTACTGTTGGTACACCTTTCCTTCCAGCATTACTTAAGCTACTTGAATAGCCTCCGTGTCAAGGACGTCTTCAGTTCGACACACAGCCTCCTCCACTACTTTGACCGACTCATCCTCACTGGGGCAGAAAGTAAAAGCAATGGCGATGAAGGTTACGGGCGCAGCCTGCGCTACGCGGCTCTGAACCTGGCAGCTTTGCACTGCCGCTTTGGACACTAGTGAGTTTCTGTGGTGGTGTGTTGCAATTGGAGCCATTGTTTGGTAGAGCAGGGAGGCGTAAAGCTACAACTCCCAGGATTACATAACATTGAACAATGGTAGTTCAAGTTTGTTTATTATTTATTTACTTTGTTTTATATCCCGCCCGCTCTCCCTCGTAGAGGGACTCAGAGCGACTAATTCAGACATGGGCAAACTTTCTAACTTGGGGGCCACATGACAGGTCAGAGCAGGGCGGGCAGGCTGAAAAGAAGGGGGGTCCTCCCCAAGCCCCCTCCCTACCCTTTCCTCCCCTTTCTCTTCTCTTTTGGAGGCAGAAAGTGAAGGAAATACAGGAAACATTTGGATCCCAACAGGGTTAGCCTTGGTCAGGATGAGATGGTGGATGGGAGAGAAAAGGTGTATCCATGAGACCACGTATTGCCTACTCCTGATATAGAATCCTAGAGCTGGAAGAGACCCTCAAGGGCCATCCAGCCCAACCCCCTGCCATGCAAGAAGGCACAATCAAAGCACTCCTGATAGATAGCCTCTTCAGAAAAGCCTGCAGAGAAGTAGACTCCACCACACTCCAAGGCAGCCTATGCTGCTCTCTAACAGCTCTTACTCTCAGGAAGTTCTTCCTAATATTTTCAATTGAAGCTCTTGCCCTGCCATTTGAACCCATTGCTCCCTTGTGCCCTGGTCTTTAGAGCAACAGAAAGTCCCCCTCCTCCTTTTTAAAGGGACACCTTTTAAAATCTTGAAACATGGTTCTCATGTTCCCTCTCAACTGTTGCTTCTCCCAGCTAAACATCCCCCAGGAGGAAAGGAGGAAGGAAAAAGAGAAGGAAGGAAGGATGTGTGGAAGGGAATGGAGGGAGGAAAGAGAGAAAGAAGAAAAGACAAAAGGGAAGGAAGGAAGGAGAAAGAGGGAGAGAGGAAAGGAGGGAGAAAGAGGGAGGGAAGGAAGGAAAGGAAGAAGGAAGGAAAGAGGGAATGAAGGCTAGGATGAGAGAGAGGAAGGCCTGAGAAAAGAGCCCAAGGGGCCCCATCTGGCCACCCTGCCTGGGTTTACCCATACCTGGGCTAACTGCAGCCATTCGAAAGAGCAGGTGCTGTCTGGGAGGTCACAAGAATCCTGCTGTTTCCTGGCAGAGCTTGGGAGAGTTTATCCTGTCCCTTAGATCCAAAGATCTCAGAGTGGTATACAATCCAACCAGTGACAAAACAGTAAATATATATATTTCAGCAATACAATTTTTAAAGACAGTAATTTCCCCATACATGGCTTATATTGCTATATAAATCCATTTAAACAAATGAGTTGACCCTGCTACTTATGGATTGTGCTTTGAACACCAAGGGATGTCTATAGCATCTGCTTATGCCAAGCCTTCCCAAGTGCCTGGGTTTTTCTCCCTTGGCATATCACATCTTGGCAGTGGCTGGTGCCATGTTGAACGATCCCTGCATCTTGCTCCTTTTCCTTTGTAGCCAGCAGGCTGCGCTCGCCCTGCAGGAAGCCATCCGCATTGCCCAGGAGTCCAACGACCATGTCTGCCTGCAGCACTGCTTGGTAAGCCGGGAAGGGGGGGGGGGGGCTCTAATGCTTCCCAAATCCTCATCACATTTCCAAATGGAGTTGTGAACTCTTCCCATCGGTTGCATTCCACTTTTTGACCCAGATTTTATTTTGTAAGGTTGAATTGTAAGCTTTTAAAACTGTCTGGAACAGATATGCCAAGAAAAAAAATCTTTCTGTTCACCTCCGTGGGTTGACTCTTAGGCAGACCTGAAGGTGTTGGCTCACAAGAAAGCCCCACCACATTAATAGAATAATTATAGAAGAATAGAGTTGGAATAGACCTCATGGGCCATCTAGTCCAACCCATGCAGGAAAAGCACAATCAAGATGGCCATCCAGCTTCCATTGGACTCAGAGGTAGAGAGTTCCACTGCTGAACAGCTCTTCTTACGTAAGATACTCCCTGACCAAAAAAATTGCACAAGTGACCTCAGTAGCACTTTATCTTATGGTTCGTGCAATTAAATTCTTCCTCATCCCCGGATCCTCCTCCCGATGTTTGACATTGTCCTATCTCCCAGTGTTTTAAAAATTTATCCTGAATTTGCCCCTTCCCAGCGAAATCTTTTGTGTTTTTATGTCTGATTTTATATTGTTGTGTCGCTTATTATATTGTTTTGCATTTCATGTATTTTATTTTTTGGTTTTATTATGTTTTTGTGTTATATTGTACTGATGGGCGTGGCCTCATGTAAGCTGCACCGAGTCCCCCTGGGGGAGATGGAGCGGGGTATAAATAAAGTATTATTATTATTATGATTACAGTCAGGAAGTTCTTCCTAATGTTCAGGCAGAATCTCCTTTCCTGTAATTTGAACCCAGTGCTTCAGTGACATCTAATTCCAGCTCAGTTTATGCACTACCCTTCTCCAGCCATGTGTCCTCTATATCTGTAATTGGTTAAGTGAACGAACCCAGAGGGTGATTCTCCCCAATGCTTCCTCTTCATCCTGGAAAGAAGGGAGGAGTGGAGTGCAAGAAGCAAGGTTCCATCCTGGGCCCGGTTCTGTTCAACATCTTTTTTAACGACTTAGATGAAGGGTTGGAAGGCAAAGAATCATAGAATCATAGAGTTGGAAGAGACCTCATGGACCATCCAGTCCGACCCCCTGCCAAGAAGCAGGAATATTGCATTAAAAGCACCCCTGACAGATGGCCATCCAGCCTCTGTTTAAAAGCCTCCAAAAAAGGAGCCTCCACCACACTCCGGGGCAGAGAGTTCCACTGCTGAACAGCTCTCACAGTCAGGATCATCAAGTTTGCAGATGGGACCAAATTGGGAGGGAGAGTCAATACTCCAGAAGACAGGAGTAGAATGCAAAACGATCTGAACAAATTAGAAAGATAATGGGCCAAAACCAACACAGTGAAGTTCAACAATGACAAATGAAAGATACTCCACTTAGGCAGAAAAATGAAATGCAAAATTACAGAATAGGGGATGATGCCTGGCTCAGCAGCAGTATGTGTGAAAAAGATCTTGGAGTCCTTGTGGACAGGAAGGTGAACATGAGCCAACAATGTGATGGGGTGGCTAAAAAAGCCAATGGGATTTTGGCCTGAATCAGTAGAAGTCTAGTGTCTAGATCCAGGGAAGCCATGCTCCTGCTCTATTCTGCCTTGGTCAGACCACTTTACCTGGAATCACACTGGGTCCCATTCTGGGCACCGCAGTTCAAGGGAGATGTTGCCACTAAACTGGAATGTGTCCAGAGGAGGGTGACTCAAAGGATCAAGGGTCTGGAGAACAAGCCCTATGAGGAGCGGCTGAAAGAGCTGGGCATGTTTAGCCTGCAGAAGAGAAGGCAGAGAGGAGACACAATGAGGGCCATGGATCAAGATGTGAGTGGAAGTCCTAGGGAGGAGGGAGCAAACTTGTTTTCTGCTGCCCTGGAGACTAGGACGCAATGGAGCAGTGGCTTCAAACTACAGGAAAGAAAGGAGATTACACCTGATCATGAGAAAGAACTTCCTAACTGTGGGAGAGAGCTGTTCAGCAACGGAATTCTCTGCCCCAGTGTGTGCTGGAGGTGCCTTCCTTGGAGAGTTTTAAACAGAGGCTGAATGGCCATCTGTCAGGGGTGCTTTGTGATTTTTCTGCTTCTTGGCAGGGGGTTGAATGTGATTTTTCTGCTTCTTGGCAGGGGGTTGGATGGCCCACCAGGATTCTATGATTCTATGAGATGCATTGGATCACAGCTCCCATTATCCTAATCCAGTGTGCCCAATGAATGTGATGGGGGGGGGGGGGGTGATGAGACCTGTAAACTAACACAATTGGAGCAGGTTGGCATTGATTGGGCTACAGCTCAATCATTCCTCTTGAAGTCTCATTTGGTAGGATTTTTTAACCTCTCTCTCTCTCTCTCTCTCTCTCTCTCTCTCTCTCTATATATATATATATATATATATATTCCTCAAAGAAATTGCCCCTTTCCACAAAGGTGGGCAAAGGAAGAACCGGGAAAGCCTGATTTTACAGCATCCTCCGGATTCGTTGGAGGATATTTTATGGCTTTCTTTTTGGAGCTGTGGAAAGATGACAGCATTTCATAAAATCATAGAAAATAGAGTTGGAAGAGACTACATGGGCCATCTAGTCCAACCCTCTGCCATGCAGAAAAAGCACAATCAAAGCCCCCTCAATAGATGGCCATCCAGCCTCTGTTTAAAAGCCTCCAATGAAGGAACTTCCACCAGACTCCAAAGCAGAGGCTTCCACTGCTGAACAGATCTTCTTACAGTCAGGAAGTTCTTCCTAATGTTTGGGTGGAATCTCCTTTCCTGTCATTTGAACCCAAATTTAGTACTCTTCTGTAATGTAGATGCTGTGCGTGATTGTTTATGGGTCCCCCCTTTTCTCTTCTTCTCTTTATTCTCAAATTCTTCTCTTGCCAGAGCTGGCTGTACATCTTGGAGCAGAAAAAAACAGACAGTGGCGTTCTCTTGGAACACTCTGTGAAGAAATCTGTGTTTTTCGGATTACCGGTACGTCTTGGGCACCCTAGTTTATCTCTGTTCCTTTTGTTTGCAAGGAATCATTATCCTTCCCCTCCATTAAATGTTTCCAGTGCTGTTTACAAGATAGAGAAACATTTTTTAAAACCAGCGGGCATTGTTGGCATCCTGCACTGCAGAACTAAAAAGAATACAGTCAAGGCTAAAAGTGTATGAGAATAGAGGTCTGTCTTGGATACTCCGAGGATATTGGGAAGGGTATTTAGTTTTAAGCTCAATTGTAATTGTATGATTTTTATTGTATCTTAACTTGTATCAGTGACACAAATATTTAATTGTTTTTAATGTTTGTAATTGCCATGTTTTAAAATGTATTGGGTTGCGTTATGTCATTGTAAGCTGCCTTTTTAAATGGGTCAACCTGTACCAAAAGCATATCAGTTGTGGTTGAAAGGGGAGCCATCTTTGTCTTCTGTCCCAGTTTCCTCTGTGTGAAAAGATGGCTCTATTTTCCCTTTTTTCCTGCCTGTCCCGCCTTTCTGCCCATGTTTCCCACATGGTTCACAGTTGAAAACCATGGCATAGGATGTAGTGGAGGCAATGCTCACAAAATAGTCTGGCTTTGCATCAGCAGGTTTCTGATTCATAAAACAGAAGCGAATAGGCCAAATCTCCGCAAGTCCTGAAATGGCCATTGTGCTGTTTCAAGAATCTGGGTCTGAAGTGAAAAATGGCATTGAAGCTGTGGAAACCTTCAAGCTTGGCTCTTGTATCTTGTACTTGGATTTCCTTTTAACTAATTCATTTCAAACCCTTCTTACTTTCTTTCTTTTCCCTCCCTCTCTCCTAGTATCTAGCTTCCCTGGGGATCCAGTCCATGGTTCAGCAAAGAGCTTTAGCCGGGAAGACGGCCAACAAGCTAATGGATGCCTTGAAGGACTCGGATCTCCTGCACTGGAAACACAGCTTGTCCGAACTCATCGATATCAGCATTGCCCAAAAGACAGCTATCTGGAGACTGTATGGTCGCAGGTACAGTCATCCTTTGTAAACCAGTTCAGAGGGGCAAGAAGATGCCTGTGTTGAATGCAGAGTTGGCTGTTTTCAGCCAAATAATTTAAAAAAAAAGTTTCTGAAGTATAAAAATTTACGTAGTGGCTCGTCCCTTTGAAATTTCCTGTTGTTGCTGCTATTGCTATTTATTTATATATTGTGTCAGAAGCGAAATGAGAATACAGTTATAATCTACAAAAAGAAACCACAAACAAAGTTAAAAACTTGGCTTTATACTATATGTCCTTTGATTAGAAGCTGGCCACTTGGAGTGCTTCTGGTGTCTCTGTAAGAAGGTCATCCACTGTGCATGTGGCAGGGCTCAGACTGCATTGTAGTAGGCAGTCTGTGGTTTGCTCTTCTCAACAGTCTCATGTTGTGGACTCCATTTTGTAGCCCCATTTCTTAAGGTTAGTTCTGCATCTCGTGGTGCCAGAGTGTAGTCTGTTCAGCGCCTTCCAAGTCGCCCAGTTTTCTGTGTGTCCGGGAGGGAGTCTCTCATCCAGTCTCAGCCACTGATTTAGGTTCCGGGTGTTAGCTTGCCACTTTTGGACTCTCGCTTGCTGAGGTGTTCCTGCGAGTATCTCTTTAGATCTTAGGAAGCTGTTTTTTGATTTGAGGTATTGGCAGACTGGCTGATATCCTTACAGAGGATGGGCCGGAGATGTCACTGCTTTGGTCCTTTCATTACAGGACCTGCTATTTCCTGATAGATGCCAGGTGGTACAATACTGGCTAAACAGTATAATTTCTCCAGTGGTGTACGGCATAGACATCCTGTGATAATACGACATATCTTATTAAGAAATATGCGTTTTAGATGGATTAGGAATCAGCTGGTTTTCCCTGTAATAGGCAGTAAGAGCACCTAAAGCTTTGGAGAGCTTCTGTTCAACCATTTCAAAGCTCCCTGTTTGAGCAGTGATGGAACAATAGTCAGCATACACCCACAAGATAGTAACACATCCGGGCCTCCCCTGGGCAACGTCTTTGTAGACGGGTGATTCTCACACACCAGAAGCAACTTGCACTATAATAATAATAATAATAATAATAATAATAATAATAATAATGATAATAATGTTGATGATGATAATCATCATTTTATTACCGGCCTCTCCCTGTGTCTTGATGAGCATGTGAAGGTGGTAGGACAGAAACAAAATCCTCCCCTGTAGTATTAACATGATTCTTGTTCCTGGGTTGTAAGTGTCATTTCCTAATTGGGTCTGTCATAAAAATATGGAAAAAGATTATTAAACTTCACAAACTTTGTTTTTGTGGGATACCCAGCAGCATATTTTGCTATAGTTTCTCCATAAATATCTCATTGAGTCTCAACCAATTCAACCTAGTTTGTGGCAGCCACAAAAACGAAGTTTCTGGAGTAGAACAACTATTTTCAAATTAACTACTGCACAATTAAACAGGAATAACACTTTCAAATCAGGAACATTTTTTTTCAAATTTTGTTACATAGTGTTATAAGACTCAGATAGTCTAGACCTAAGCCATGATCCAGACACCTACTATCTGAATCTGCTTCATGATCCTTGGAAGCCCCTTACGTGATGCTAAGCCGGTTTTCCTTTTGCCTTAGCACCATGGTGCTCCAGCAGGTGCAGATGCTGCTGAGCATGAACTCACTGGAGGCCGTGAATGTGGGTGTTCAGCAGAACAATACCGAGTCCTTCGCTGTGGTCCTCTGCCACTTGGCTGAGCTGCATGCAGAGCAGGTGGGTACCATGGCATTTATCTCGGGTCCATTTTGATCGGGGGGGGGGGGTGGCGGCGCAACGGGTTAAAGTGTTGAGCTGGTGAACTTGCTGACTGGAAGGTTGGCAGTTCAAATCTGTGGGGCAGGGTGCGCTCCTGCTCTTAGCCCCAGCTCCTGCCAACCTAGCAGTTTGAAAATATGCAAATGTGAGTAGATCAGTAGGTACCCCCTTGGCAGGAAGGTAAATGGCACTACATGCAGTCATGCTGGCTACATGACCTAAGACGTGTCTACAGACAACGCCGGATCTTTGGCTCGGAAATGCAGGAGCACCTCCCCCACAGCCGGAGATAAAAGGGGAAGCCTTTGCCTGTGCATCTGTGTTTCATTGTTTCAAAGCACTGAATGTTTGCATGTGTCTGTATATATGCTGAATCCGCCCTGAGTCCCCTTGGGAAGATAGGGCAGAATACAAATAAGTCTCTTCTGGTATCAGAGAATTGGCTGTCTGCAAGGACGTTGCCCAGGGGATGCTTAGATTTTTTTGGGTTGTTTTTACCATCCTTGTGGGAGGCTTCTCTCATGTCCCCATATGGAGCTGGAGCTCATCCACTCTCTTCCCGGGTTGGATTCAAACCGGCAGTCTTCAGGTCAGCAACCCAACCTGTGGTTGAGTTCCAACAGGACTTCATTCTCTCTCTCTGTTTTAGGGGTATTTTGCTGCCGCCGCTGATATCCTAAAACACTTAAAACAGAGGTTTCCTCCCAACAGTCAGCATGCTCAGGTGAGCTCTGTGTCTTCCTTTTTGAAGATCATCTTCTCCTTCAGTACAAGGGCATGTATCATATGTCGTGCGGAAAATGGCGGGAGCTTAAAAGAAATGGAGCGAACATAACTTCCTTAGACGGGGTTCCATAGTTGAGGCACTGCTGCAGCAAAGGCTGTGCTGGATATCTTTGTTTTAGATCAGCCTTGTTATGTTTGCTTTTGAAAACCAGGGTGCGTTTTCACTTCGTCCACGGGTGCTTGAAAGAAAAAGATCCTATCTTTATTTTATTTTATTTTACTAGCTTGGGTGCCCGGCGTTGTCCGGGTTATTTGAAAAAGTCAATTTTTTAATTGTACAAAATACATAGATTGTGGGTGAACTACAACTCAAATCATGCCAGTTTAACCCCCTGAAACTCCAGTGCTTAAAGTTTGTCATGTTGGGCAAGTTTGCTCTCCAGGTGCAGCATCAGTGGGATCTGTGTGCTCTCTGGCTGTAGGATGAACTACAGCTCCCCCCATGGCGGGTCAGTTCCCCCCAAACCCCTCCAGTATGCTAAGTTGTTCATGGGGGTTCTGTGTGCCAAGTTTGAGCCAGGTCCATCATCGGTGGGGTTCACAGTTTCTCTGGTTGTAGGTGAACTACAACTCCCAAAAATCAAGGTCAATCTCTACCAAACCCCTCCAGTATTCAAATTTGGGCATATTGGGTATGTGTGCCAAGTGTGGTCCCGATCCTTTGTTGTTTGGATTCACAGAGCTCTCTAGATGCAAATGAACCGCAACTCCCCAAAATCAAGATGAATTTTCCCCAAAGCCCTCCAGTATTTTTTGTTGGTCATGAGGGTTCTGTGTTGCAAGTTAGGTCCAGGTCCATCATTGGTGGGGTTCAGAGTGCTCTTTGATTGCAGGTGAACTATTGTTTCCATTCGATGTTTGGTTTTTTTGTCTTACTCTACTATAACAGGCTGTGTTTTTTATTTAATTTTAGTTGTTAAGTCATAATTCATGTTTATATGTTGGGTTTAAATTTTGTTATCATGGATGTATTGTTGTTGTATTCAGGCATTGAATGTTTGCCTTTTATGTTTGGAATCCGCCCTGAGTCCTTTCAGGGAGATAGAGCAGAATATAAATAAAGTATTATTATTATTATTATTATTATTATTATTATTATTAATATTATTACCCACAACTCCCAAATGTCAAGGTCAATTCCCCACAAACCCCACCATCATGCTAAATTTGGGCATATTGGGCATGCATGCTAAATTTGGTCCAGGGCCATTGTTGTTTAGGTTCACAGTGCTGTCTGGATGTGGGTGAACTACAATTGTGTGCTATGGAAAAGAGTAGGAAAGGGTTATGGAAGATACAGTGGGAGGGACCATGCAAATTCCACACCAATGGAGAGAGTCAGGAACACTGAGATGTCGGTAGTGTAGAAAACACATCAAATCTAGGATAAAATTGTTCCTTTATGAAAGCCTTCGCTTGGGTGGTGGGCAGTCTTGTGTTTGTGGAGGACACTGGCAGAGGTCCTACATGTTCATGGCGCTCGCTATGGAGGGAGGGCCAATGGTGGCTTCTGAGTAGTGGGAGCTATAGCTATTTGTGGAAGTGGGAGGCTGTCTGTGAAAGTAGGCACCCCAGTCACATACACACATACATATTTTCACATTTATTATGGAGCTATCTCTCTCTCTCTCTCTCTCCATTGCCTCTGCCTTGGCGATGAAGGCGATCTTGATCAAAATGAGTCAGAGAAATGTTTAAAATGCATACATAAAAAGCCAGATTGGAAGTGACAGTGTAGATGGAAGCATCACACCAAATTGTCTTGTCATGGTTCTTCTCAACCCATGGCTGAAGTTCTGTTTTCCAGCTTTGGATGCTCTTTGATCAGAAAATCCAGTTTGACAGAGCCATGAACGATGGCAAGTACCATGTGGCCGACTCACTGGTGGCCGGAATTACAGCCCTGAACAGTGTCGAAGGGGTTTACAGGTAAGAGATGGTTGGCGTGTCAGGCTTTGGTGAAGGTCCTGTTGAAATGGGCTTCGTATTGACCTGAAAAGTCAGTGCACTTCATTTTATCATGTCTTTTGCTCAAGTGAACTATTTCCACTGATCCTTGCTTGCACTGTGTCGAATAAAAACAACATATGGAGGATGTTCTACTTAGTCCGACTAAATCTACTAGTCAAATGTGGGCTAGGCAGTGCTACTATTAGGTGGATCTGTAATTGGTTAAGCGACCAAATCCAAAAGGTGCTTCTCCCCAATTGAGTCCCCTTTGAGGGAGAGAAAGCGGGGTATAAATAAATAAATAAATAAATAATATATAATAAATATATAATAATCATGGTTCCTCTTTTCCTGGAAAGAAGTGACTACTTGAGTGCCATAAAGAGGGTTTGGTCCTGGGCCCAGTACTGTTCAACATCTTTATTAATGACTTGGAGGAAGGTTTAGAGGGCGTCCTTATCAAGTTTGGACATGGGACCAAATTGAGAGGGAGAGTGAATACTCCAGAAGACAGGAGCAGAATTCAAAAGGACTGTAACAGATTAAATTGCTGATTAACCAAAATGGACAACATGAATTTCAACTGGGACAAATGTAAGATACTACACTTAGGCAGGAAAAAATGAAATGGAAAGATACAGGATGGGTGACACCCATGTGAGAAAGATCTTGGCGTCTTCATGGACAAGTTGAATATGAGCCAAGAATGTGATGCAGCAGCTAAAAATGCCAATAGGGTTTTTGGCCGCATCAAAAGGGGTAGAGTGTCCAGATCAAGGGAAGTCATGATGCCTCTCTATTCTGCTTTGGTCAGACCTCTTTACCTGGAATATCACTGTGTCCAGTTCTGGGCACCATAGTTTTAAAGAGATATCGACAAGCTGGAAGGTGTCCAACAGAAGGCAAGCAAAAAAAAAATTATTTATTTACTTCATTTCTACCCTGCCTTTCTCTACCCTAGAGGGTATTCAAGGCGGCTTACAAATCTGGCAAAATTCAGTACCTTACAGGTAAACAATAAACACATCTCATCAAAAAATAAACAATCTAAACTTATAAGCAATTAAAACACATATCAATCAATCAAACAGATTAAAACCATATAAAATGCCGAGTCATTATTTCATGTCCAAATCGTTTTCCAAAATCCATAGTCTGTTATTCAAGCTGTTAAAGTCTCATTCCGTAGTTTCCTGTTCACCAAACACCTGTGAGAAGATCAAAAGTCTTAGAGACCATGAATCCCCATGAGGAGCATCATAAAGAGTTGGGATGTTTAGCCTTCAGAAGAGAAGGTTGAGAGGAGACAGGAGAGCCATGTATAAATATGTGAAAGGATGTCCTGAGGAAGAGTGAGCAGGCTTGTTTTCTGCTGCCTTGGAAACTAGGACTCAATGGAGCCATGGGTTCAAATGACAGGGAAGGAATTTCCACCTGAAAATTAGGAAGAACTTCCTGACCATAAGAATTGCTGTTCAGCAATGGAACTCTCTGCCTCGGATTGAGGTGGAAGCTCCTTCCTTGGAAGCTTTTAAACAGATGCTGGATGGCCATCTGTCGGGGGTGCTTTGATTGTGCTTTTCCTGCATGGCAGAATAGGGTTGGACTAGATGGCCCATGTGGTCTCTTCCAACTCTGTGATTCTGTGATTCTATGAAATCCTCCCCCTTGAATTGTTGCAAACCTCAAAGGCCTTGTGGGCCCATAAATGCCCTGCCTGAGTTTGGAATATTGAATTATTTGGGCTACAGTTCCCAGAATCGCCCTGTTGTGTTGAGCACCTGAAATGCAGGGGAACATTTAGGATTTTGTCCCCAGTAATTTCGGGAGGAAAGGGGTTGATCAGCCTGGATTGTTGTGCCCTTGCATGTTGCTTGCTTTCCAGAAAAGCTGTTGTACTTAAAGAGCAGAATCAAATGTCCGAGGCCCACCGACTCCTGCAGAAGCTTTTGATTCACTGCCAGAAGACTAAAAACATGGAGATGGCGATTCGGTAAGAACCCGGCTACCTGAGGAGTCTTGTGAAATCTCAGATTTTTTGCATTCTCAATAATTTTCCTGATTCAATTGCCTAGAAAGGGTTTGGTGTTCCAAAGCTAACAAGGGTCATTGACGTTTCCTTGTTTTCTCTCCTTGGTGTCTGTATTGCCGCTGTGTTGGTTGCGGTTAGTGTGCTCCTGGCCATTGCCAAGCTCTACTGGAGGTCCATGCGCCACACCACTGCTCTGCCGGTCCTACTCCAGGCCCTTGCTCTGGCTCGAGAATACCGCCTCCAATCCCTGGCCTCAGAAACAATCCTTTGCTTGGCTTTCTCGCAGGTATTTTCAAAAAGGGGAAAACATTTCTAAAGTTGAGCAACAACAGCAGTGGTGGGTTGCTGTGAGTTTTCCGGTCTGTCTGGCCATGTTCCAGAAGCATTCCCTCCTGACATTTCACCCACATCTATGGCAGGCATCCTCACAGGTTGTGAGTTCTGTTGGAAAATAGACAAGTGGGGTTTATCTACCTGTGGAATAATGTCCAGGGTGTGAGAAAGAACTCTTGTCTGCTTGAGACAAGTGTGAATATTGTCATTGGCCAGCTTGATTAGCATTGAATGGCCTTGCAGCTTCAAAGCCTAGCTGCTTCCTGCTGGGGGGCTCCTTTGTTGGGAGATGTTAACTGGGCCTCATTGATTCTTGTCTGGAATTTCCTTGTTTTCTGAGTGTTGTTCTTTATTTACTGTCCTGATTTTAGAGTTTTTTAATACTGGTAGCGAGATTTTGTTCATTTTCACGGTTTCCTCTTTTCTGTTGAAATTGTCCACATGCTTGTGGATTTCAATGGCTTCTCTGTGTAGTCTGACATGGTGGTTGTTAGAGAGGTCCAACATTTCTGTGTTCTCCAATAATATGCTGTGGCCAGGTTGGTTCACCAGGTGCTCTGCTATGGTTTAAAACTCTAAAATCAGGATAGTAAATAAAGAGCAACACTCAGAAAACAGAGAATTCCAGACAGGAAACAATCAGGGCCAGCTAACACCTCCCAACTAAAGATTCTCCCAGGCAGGAAGCAGCCAGACTTTGAAGCTGCAAAGGTATTCAGTGCTAATCAAGTTGGTTCCCACTTGCCTCAAACAGACAAGAGCTCTTTTTCCCAGCCTGGACATCATTACACAGATGTATAAACCCCACTTGGCTAATTTTCAGCAGACCTCACAACCTCTGAAGATGCCTGCCATAGATGTGGGTGAAACAGCAGCAGAGAATGCTTCTGGAACATGGCTATACAGCCTGGAAAACTCACAGCAACCCAGTGATTGAAAGTCTTTGACAGCAGCAGCAGTTTTAGCAGATCAGAAGCTTCTTGAGCCCAGCAGTAGAGCCAATGAGCTCCAGTAATGGTGGGAGCAGCGTCAAACCTTAAAAGTTACAAAATACTTTACTGAAAGAATGACATTACTATACAGGAAAGCAAGGGCCTACCTATCTAACTATCTAGCTCTCTGGAGCAGACACTTTATCTCTCTCCATACTCACAGGAGAAGAACAAAAGGAATATTGTGGCTGGATCTACACTGCCATATAATCCAGATTATCAAAGCAGATAATCCAGATTATCTGATTTCAACTGGATTATCTGCATCTACATTTCCATATAATCCAGTTCAGACATGGCTGGAAACTTTGTATAAAAAGAGGCGTGTCCCTGAGAAGTGTCAGTCTAACAGAAGAGAGGAAGGGGGCAGATACAGGCCCCTTCTACACTGTCATATAAAACCAGATTATCTGCTTTGAACTGTATTATATGGCAGTGTAGACTCATATAATCCAGTTCAAAGCAAAGAATGTGGATTATCTGCTTTGATAATATTGGTTATATGGCAGTGTAGAAGTGGCCACAGAGGACAGTAGAGAAAGAACCTTCCCTGCCTGGGTCCACAATTGAGGAACTGCTCCCTAAAACACTGCACTTGTACTCTTATGAGGTAGGGCTGGACGACATGCCACAGGTTTGTGTTGGAGGAAAGGGTCTTTAAGATACCCTGGCCCCAGAAGCTTTGCTCCCAGCCCGTCACCTTGTAGTAACCTTTTGTCTTTGGCTTCCCTTGTAGCTCATGCTTGGGATGCCCGAGCAAGCCCTGAGCATGCTGAACACCACGATTGAGCCCACCTTGGCTCACGGCTCAGTGCTGGACAAAGGAGCGGCCATGTTCCTCGTGGCCAAGTGCCAGGTGGCCTCGGCAGTGGCCTTGGCCCCTCACAAGAAGGTTGAAGGTAAGAGAGGTGCCCTTAGCACATTTGTCCCAGTGTCCCAGATACCACATTTTTGATCCATTGTGCCCATCATGGGCTCCCTTTGCCAGTGGGAGCTGCATCCGTGTCCTTCCCGATCTTCTTAGGCGTAATAAACACCAAAAGGTCTCTCTCCTCCAATTTACAGCTAAAACCAAGGTCATCTCCAGCCACACCCATTGCGTATGGCTCCCAGGCTGTTTGGCACAAAATGAAAAAAAATAATAATAATACTTAGACCAGTCAACTCTTGTTGAATGAATGCAATTTGACCCCACTTGACCTTTAGGCAGAAACACTAAAGACGCAGCAAAACTACAACCCCTAGGACCAAATTCTGAGGTGTTAGACTCCCTTTCTATGGTCTAGAACTGGTAATTAGAGTATAACAAATTTACTCCTCATTTCCCATCATGTCCCAAATTGACTCTTTTGGACTACGGCTCTATGGAGGAGATTCTGGGAGTTGTAGTCCAAACACATTACCTTTTCTAGGTTTGGCAATCTCTATATACAATGGGGGAGAGGGGATCTGTTTTGAATACTCTGGGTGTTCTCTGGGTTTATACCTGTGGGGCCAAAGTGACGCAGTGGGTTAAACCGCTGAGCTGCTGAACTTGCTGACTGGAAAGTTGGTGGTTCATATCCACGGGACAAGGTGAGCTCCTGCTGCTAGCCCCAGCTTCTGCCAACTTAGCAGTTTTAAAACATGCAAATATGAGTAGATGAATAGGTACCGCCTTGGTGGGAAGGTAATACACACTTTAATATACACTTTATTTCTATTCTGCTCTTCTCCCCTAGGGGACTCAGTGCGGATTACAGCATTTACAGCAGACTAATAGAGCCTCATCATGCTAGAGAAAAAATCCACTTAAAATCCAGTTTCTGTCTCCTGCAGAATTCTGGGTTTCATAGTTTAGGGAGGAGCCTTTAACAGCCTCACTAAACTACAAACCCCAGAATTCTGCAGAAGTAGATAATAGGCAAACATTCAATGCCTTTGCAGTCATATACAATGAGACAGAGCAACACAGACAAGGTGAAGACTTCTCCTTTTTCATTTCCGGCTTCTGGAGCAGTGCTCAGCTCTGGCTGGGAGTGGTGTTCTCCATTTTCAAGTCGAGGAGCCTGCGTTGTTACCTCCTGGTTGTGTGGCCAGCAAAACTGCTTGGAGTGTCTTTTCCCTTTTCCCGCTGAAGCAGTAGCTATTTACTCACATTTGCATGTTTTCGAACTGCTAGGTTGACAGGAGCTAGGGCTAATAGCAGGAGCTCACCCCATCCCTCAAATTCGAACTGACGACCTTCAGATCAGCAATTTAGCATCACAAGGCTTTAACCCATTGTGGCACCACGGTGCAAGGTAAATGGTGCTCCATGCAGTCATACTGGCCACATCATCTAGGACAGAGGTCCTCAAACTTTTTAAACAGAGGGCCAGGTCACAGTCCATCAAACTGTTGGAGGGCTGGATTATAATTTGAAAAAAACATGAATGAATTCCTATGCACACTGCACATATCTTATTTATAGTGCAAAAAACACAAATGCAATACAATAATTAAAATGAAGAATTTTTTTAACAAATATAAACTTATTAGTATTTCAATGGGAAGTGTGGACTTGCTTTTGGCTGATGAGATGGGATTGTTGTTGTTGTTGTGTGCTTTCAAATAATTTCAGACAGGTTGACCCTGAGCAAGGCCAGGTAAATGACCTTGGAGGGCCGTATCTGGCCCCTGGACCTTAGTTTGAGGACCCCTGATCTAGGAGGTGTCCTTGGACAATGCAGGCTCTTTGGCTTTGAAATGGAAATGAGCACCATCCATCAGTGCCAGAAGGGGAAGCCTTTACATTTATCTGTGTTTCATTGTTTCTTAGCATTGAATGTTTGATATATTGTTGAAGGCTTTCATGGCTGGAATCACTGGGTTGTTGTGGGTTTTTCGGGCTGTATGGCCATGTTCTTAGAAACATTCTGTCCTGATGTTTCGCCTGCATCTGAGGCAAGCATCCTCAGAGGTTGTGAGGTCATCAGATGCAGGCTAAACATCAGGAAAGAATGCTTCTAGAACATGGCCATACAGCCTGAAAAACCTACAACAGCCCACTGAACGTTTACCTTTGTGTTTGTGTATGCTGGAATCCACTCTGAGTCCCCTTGGGGAGATAGGGCGGAATACAAATAAAGTATTATCATTTCCTCTGCTTGCAGTCCTGGAGTCAGCGATCCTGAACCTGAATGAAGCCAAAACCTATTTTGCAAGGGTGGACTGCAAGGACCAGCTCCGCGATGTCTACTATTACCAGGCCAGGCTTTTCCACAGCTTGGGCAAGACTCAGGAGAGGAATTATTGTGCCATGTTCTTTCGGCAGCTGGACCAAGAGCTCCCCGCATGTGGGGTTCCATTGATCAGTGGATTCAAATGAGACGCTCCCCTGCACCGTCTCCAACTCCTTTCTTTTGTTTAGTACAAACCGTGATTTTTTAAAAAATAAAATAAAATGTGTTTTTCTTGCTGAGTGGAAGAAACATGTTTTTCTTGTAGGGGGAAAAGATGGCCACTGCTCAGAGCTCATTTCTCTACGGAATGATAGTAAGGTGAAGCTTGCCAACAGGTGCATTTCTGGAAAAAGTCGGGAAGGAAGAGTGAGTTGCCACTCACACCCACTCTGTTTTATATGCATTATGTAATATCCTCCCATGTACATGTTAATAGCAATAATGCCAGTTTTCCAGCAGGCTGCTCAAGGTCAGCTTGCCCTGTAGAGATAAGGATGTTTCTCTCCTGGAATGCCTGGGAATGTGTTCCTTTGTGAGGATGGGGGGGATCTTTTCCCCCTCTGCCTGAGAAAACGTCAGCCTTTTTTCAGAACTAGGGAGAATATATAAAGATCAGGAAACATGAGGTCCAAGTGGTGTATGCTGGACCTTTGCCAGAAACCCTGTTGAGGGGCTTCTAGTTAATTGAGCACAGCCTGGTGAACAGCCATTGTGAGAAAGCACCCCTTGCTTCAATCGGAGGAAGGTGAGTGTACTTTGAAGGTTTTATGGACACGTCCTTCTTAATGTAACCATTGTTTTGGTGCCCAGGAATTGAACAGATTGAGAGCTCGGTACATTACCATCGGCAAATGTTGTGGGTGGGCATCGTTCCTCAGGGTGAGGTGTCACGCATAGCTTATTTTCCCCCATTACTTGTGGGGATTTAGTTTGAAGAAAGTGAGAGAAGAAAGGTGGGCACATACATGGATTTTATTGTATACCTCTTTGAGCTAGTGCAGCCTGAGAAATTAGGACTTGGGGGTCTTATTTTACTTCCATATACAGGGAAATCAACCCCTGAGGTTTGGGCTGGGGATGCAGGCATCCAGGAAAACAACCTGGCCAATCCTGGTATCAGGTTGCCTCCTTTTACCAGAGGGAAGAACTCAAAGACCATTCTGATTTTTTTTGTTTTTGTTCTTTTTGTTGCTGGAGCAGATGATGATGCAGCCCTCTAATTCCAACTAATCTTGCCAGGTTTTAACAATAACCACAAAAGGGAAGGAGAACATCTCTCACAACTGCAGTTTTGGGGCACGGTGTATCTCATGCACAGTGGGTCCTCTACATTTGCTGATTGGATGACTCATGGATTTGCTTCAAATGATCTCTTGTTGTCACATTCTGCTGGACACTGACCATAATGTTACCTGGGAGGAAGGAGACATTCCAAAAGACCTGTTCTCCCAGGTCAAAATTAAAGTGGTTTTTTTAAAAATTCATTTCCCCCACTTTCATGGGAACCCTGAACCCTTAACTTCAATGTGTATTTATTTATCGTGTCAGAAGCAAATTGAGCATACAGTTATAGTGTATTTCAAAACACAAGCAAGGTTAAAAACTTGCCATTATGCTAAATGTCCTTTGACCAGAAGTTGGCCACTTGGAACAGCTCTGGTGTTGCTGTGAAAACATTGTGTATGTGGCAGGGCTCAGACTGCATTGTCGTGGACTCCACTTTGTGGCCCCATTTCTTAAGGTTGGCTCTGCATCTCATGGTGCCAGAGTGCAGTCTGTTCAGTGCCTTCCAGATCACCCAGTCTTCTGTGTGCCCAGGAGGGAGTTTTTCATCCAGTCCCAGCCACTGATTGAGGTTCCGGGTTTTAGTCTGCCACTTTTGGACTCTTGCTTCCGGAGGTGTTCCTGCAAGTATCCCTATAGATCTTAGAAATCTATTTCTTGATTTAAGGTGTTGCCTTGCTGGCTGATATCTGAACAGAGGATGGGCCAGATATGTCAATTCCTTGGTCCTTTCATTACAGGCTGCTACTTCCCGATGGATATCAGGTGGTGCAATACTGGCTAAACAGTATAATTTCTCCAGCAGTGTTGGGCGTAGACATCCTATGATAATGCAGCATGTCTCATTAATAGCCACATCCACTGTTTAAACATGATCAGATGTATTCTACATTGGGCATGCGTGCTCAGCAGCAGAGTAGCAAAGTGCAAGGGCAGATGTCTTCACTGTGTCTAGCTGTGATCCCCAGGTTGTACCATTCAGCTTTCGTGATGATGTTATTTCTAGCACCCACTTTTTTCTTGATAGTCAAGCAGTGCTTCTTGTAGGTTAGCGCATGGTACAGAGTGACTCCCAGATATTTGGGTGTGCTGCAATGCCCCAGTGGAATCCTTCCCAGGTCATCCTCAGAGCTTAAGATGTTTATCTGCACATGCCTTTATTTTAGATGGATTAGGAATCAGCTGGTTTTCCCTGTAATAGGCAGCAAGAGCACCTAAAGCCTCGGAGAACGTCTGTTCAACCATCTCAAAGCTCCCTGCTTGAGCGATGATGGCACCATTGTCAGCGTAGATGAAACTCTGTCCCTTCTGGCAGTGGCTGGTCATTTGTGTAAATGTTAAACCGTGATGGAGCAAGCACGCTCCCCTGAGGCAGGCCGGTCTTCTGTTCTCACCATCTTCTTCTCTGGCCCTGGAACTCAACAAAAAAGCTCCTGTTTTGTACCAGATTTCCTATGAAGCGAATGAGGTGGTAGTCCTTTGTGATATTATACATTTTTCTCAGGAAAAGGCAATTATTTACAGTGTTATAAACTGCTGACAGGTCTATGAAGACAGCTCCTGTAATCTGCTGCCTTTCCAAACCATCTTCTATGTGCTGAGTCAGGTTCAGCACTTGCGATGTGCAGCTTCTCCCTTTCCTGGAACCACCTTGCTGTGGAATCATAAATAGGTCTATTTTTCCATAATTCTATGCAAAATCAGTCTCTCCAGAACTTTATGTGGAGGATTGACAATTCACTTATTAACCAAGCAGCCCTTTCACAGTCAGCTCCCATCAATCATATCATTCCAGCAAGTCATTCTCTCTGCGTTTCTTTTAGGGGTTTGAGTTGTTGTAGGTTTTTTGGGCTCTATGGCCATGTTCTAGAAGCATTCTCTCCTTATGTTTCACCTCCATCTATGGCAGGCATCCTCAGAGGTTGTGAGGTCTGCCATAGATGCAGGCAAAATGTCAGGAGAGAATGCTTCTAGAACATGGCCATAGAGCCCGAAAATTCTACAACAATCCAGTGATTCTGGCCATGACAGCCTTTGACAATACATTTTGGGGGTTTGTTTTTAAGCCTGTCCCTCTGCCAAACTCGGCATCCTTGTTGACATTGGATTGTACATATTGGCAGTGATGCCGAACGGCACACCTGCATTCCAAAGTCCGTGTGAGGCAAACCGGTTTCCAAAAGGGATGGTTTTCTGCCCTGCTGGATGGCAGCCACTTTGAAAAACATTATTCTGCTTTTCTTCTTGCATTATTGAAAGCTTTGTCAGATGGGAAAAGCCATCCTGACTCCAGCTAGGAACTGGGGAGGTTGGCCTCGGAGCGAGCTTTAACACTTGCCAAACTAATGGGTGTCCATCCAGAGTGAGAAAGTGTTTGCTTCTCACTATTGCACATCTTCCTCCTGCCCCAAAACCAGTTTAGTTTTTGGCTGTCCTAAGGGTAGTCAAGCATGTCCCATTGATGCCAGGCAAATGTGTGTTAATTTTGGGTCTGCACCCATGTGCCATCATTAAGTTTCCGCAGGATGTCATTGCGTGCAGCTACTTTGTGCTTGGTGTTTGCACAGTGTTTCCTAAATGTTAGTGTTCGATAGAAGGCAGTGATCCCAACATTTAGTTCTCCAGGTTATTTTGGACTTCAGCTCCCATAATTCCTAACAGCTGGTAAAATGGCTGGGATTTCTGGGAGCTAAAGTCAAAACACCTGGAGGGCCAAACCGTTGGGTATCACTGCCTTAGATCAAACACTAACATTTAGGAACCACTGTAAGATATTTAGGGTGTGAAGGATGCTGAGTTGGGATGCTAAGCCCCTCCCCTTGCCTCCCATTGGTTGGTTCCAGGAGCCCTTGGCTGGCATGGTGATGGGGAGGCTGCTCCCGCCTCCTCCTTCCCTCCCTCCGCTGGAAAAGCAGAAAAAGAAGGGAAAGGCAGGGAGGGAGGGACGGAGGGAGGAGGGCGCCTGACTACAACAGCCACCTCCACATCTGGACCAGTGAGAGGCTCTCTGGGCGGCGCGGCTCAGCCAATCCGGAGCCGAGGCGCCTCTCGCTTTTTTTTTTTCTTCAAGGGAGGGAAAAAAAACCAGCGGTCCACGTTTCAACCAATAGGAGAACAGCTGGGCGCATCTGGGCCGCGGAGGGCGGGTTGCGCGGCTCGGAGAAGAGCCTGAAAGGAGCCGGCCGAAGGGAAGCCCCAGGGAAGGAGAGGACCAAGGAGAGGACTCCGGCGAAGCGGGTGAGCAGAAGGGGGACCCCCAAGGGAAGGGAGAGAGGCCCTCCTCGTCTTCCCGCCTTTTTTTGGGGCCGCCCAGGGCTTTGGAAGGGCAAGTAACGGGAGAGGGGCCCTCCTCGTTACCGTTACTTTGAGCCAAAAGTAACTGGGCGGGGAAGAAAGAGATCTATCCAGGGTTATATCAAGGGGCTCCCTCCAAAATATATGCACAACATGTGTGTGAATCTGTGTATGAATATCTATCTATTACTATTTTTGGGAAGGGGGAGTGCCTTGAAAGAGAGCATATCTTTCTATATGAATATATAGGAATATTTGGACTAAGAATATATACATATATGTATGAGAATCTATCTCTAGGAATATCTATATGAACATATCTCTATATAGTCTTATATATATAGAGAGAGCACTTTCAATGTACGCCCCTTGACTTGGAAGCTGGAACAGAACATTTGTCTTTTCCTCCCTGAAATATTCTATAGGAATTTATGAATCTTTATTGTGTGTGTATAAATGTATTCCCATATTTGGCAAATACCTATCTGTCTATGAAACTAGATCAGTGTGTCTTTTGAACTGGATCTAGATTATTGTACCTATCTATGTGAATCTAGAATTCTCTCTCTCTGAGTGTATATATACATCCCCATAGTTGAGGGGAGCCCTTTGAAAAGGGAATATATACATACATATAGACGTGACAATCTCTCTCTATAAATATATGTGAACATACCTATCTATATTAATATATATGGATCTCACTCTATAATAATAATAATAATAATAATAATAATAATAATAATAATGTTATATGGATCTCGCTTTCACTATATGAGTATTCCCCTTGAAATGGGAATATATGTGTCTGTGCGCGTGCATATGTGCAAATCTGTCTAATTCAGTGTTTCTCAATCTTCCTAATGCCATAACCCTTTAATACAGTTCCTCATGTTATGGTGACCCCCAACTATAACATTCATTTCATTGCTATTTCATAACTGTAATGTTGTTACTGTTATGAATTGTAATGTAAATATCTGACATGCAGGATTTATTTTCATTCACTGGACCAAATTTGGCAGAAATGCCCGATACACCCAAATTTGAATACTGGTGAGGTTGGGGGAGGGGGATTGATTTTGTCGTTTGGGAGTTGTAGTTGCTGGGATTTATAGTTCACCTACAATCAAAGAGCATTTGGAAATCCACCAACGATGGAATTGAACCAAACTTGGCACACAGAACTCCCATGACCAACAGAAAATACTGGAAGGGTTTGGTGGGCATTGACCTTGAGTTTTGGAGTTGTAGTTCACCTAACTCCAGAGAGCACTGTGGACTCAAACAATGATGGATCTGGACCAAACTTGTCACAAATACTCAATATGCCCAAATGTGAACACTGGCGGAGTTTGGGGAAAATAGACTTGACATTTGGGAGTTGTAGTTGCTGGGATTATAGTTCACCTACAATCAAAGATCATTCTGAACCCTACCAACAATATAATTGGGGCAAACTTCCCACACAGAAAAAATACTGTGTTTTCTGATGGTCTTTGGCGACCCCTCTGACACCCTCTCATGACCCTCTCATGGGTCCCGGCCTCCAGGTTGAGACACTGGTCTAGGCAACCATAGGAATGTATGCACATATATTTAGCACTTTATGTCTACTTTTTGTTTGTGTACTTTGTGGAAATATGTCTTAATACTACTATGTGTAGCAGGCATGTAGCCGGGGGGGGGGGGGAGGCTTGAGGGGCTTCAGCCCCCCCCCCCCGAAATTTTCATGGTGGTTCGCAAAAAGGCCTTACTGGTGCATTATTTAAACTGTTATGTTTATTCATATCATGATCTGATCACCATACTCAATATATCCCATATGCATGGGGGTATTGGGGTAACTATACAAAAGGTTTGCTAGGGTAGACCTCTTTCACCCAGACTCAGCCCCCCTCAGCCCCCCCCCCCCAAAAAAACTCAGCCCCCCCCGAATCGAAATCCTGGCTACGGGCCTGATGTGTAGCCTTCAGAGTATTTTAAAATGCTTATGGCTTTTGATTATGTGTTTTAGCAATGTTGTGACCCACCTCAAGCCGTGAGGAGAGGCAGTGACAAAATATAATTATTATTATTGTTATTATATACACAGAATGTGTGTGAGCTGTTCGGCAGTGGAATATTCTTCCTGAGAGTCCTTCTCTGGAGGTCTTTAAACAGAGGCTGGATGACCATCTGTCAGGAGGGCTCTGGTTCTGTGTTCCTGTACAACAGAGGGTGCGACTTGATAGCCTTTGGGGTCCCTTCCAGTTCTATGATTCTAATATACGTGGGTGGGTCAAAAATGGATTTTTGTTAGTTTTCCGGGCTGTGTGGCCATGTTCCAGAAGCCTAAAAATGTTATGAATGAACCTATAACAGTAGAAGTTGCTCCAAATCATAGCTTGAACTATCCACTACACAAAACTACTGTTCAACATAGTCACCATCAATTTGGACACATTTGTGTCATCGTTTAACCCAGGCATCAAAACCATTTTGGAAAAATTCAGGGTTTTGCTTTGTGATCCATGATTTTCAAGCTGTTTGAACACCATTTAAGTCATTAAATCAGAAACCACGTTAGGCTGTCTTTCGGATGTCCAAACAGGTTAAAGTCAGAAGGGGCCAAATCATAAACATAAACAAGCAATGATGGATTTGTACACAACCTTCTTTGGCCAGAAATTCAGTGACGACACTTTCTTTTAGTTTCAGATTCATGGTTCTAATCAATCAGTTGAAAAAAGAAAAGACTCTATCAGCAGAATAAGGTTACCTCTATCATTTCATGCATAGATAGTCTAGATAGTCCAAGAGCTGGGAAAGAAAGAAAAGTTAGAGTGATGGAGGCATTACTTTTTGACCCACCCGTGTGTGTGTGTGCACGCACACACACACACACACACACACACACTTTTTTTTGGAGAGGGCTTGGTATCATCCCCAGACAAAAGGTGCTCTGAACTCCATCACAATCCTGCTTTAGATCTCCCCTCCTCATTTTCTTTTTTGAGCCTCGGACCCTCATGATTGAGAAAGAAAAAGATTGTCCCCCAAAAACGACACGGGATTTCTCAAACTGCCGTAAATGTGTGCTGCTGGAGCCTGTCTTCTCTGAAATGCCTGGAAGCTGAAGTATTTTGGAATACTTGTACCTACTTTCTGAGATCTCCTAGAGATGGGGCTCTGGTCGAAACACGGAATTCATTTTGATGTCATTGATGCCTTTATTACACACATAACCTGAGGGCTATTTCATGCGCAATCTTTTTTTAAATTTTATAATAAGGTTGTGTACATTGGGAAGTGTTGCTCTTTCAGCCCCCCAAGTGGACAGTTTTGAATCATTCTGGATTTCCAGATTGGGGATGCTTGACAGTTTCCTTTTTAGTTGGACTCTGGTTTGTCTTCAGATTGTATAACATGTCATTTTAAGGATTCCCCAGGCAAGCTTTCGTCTCCTCCCTTCCCTTCAAAGCATATTTTGATGCATTGGCCAACTCTGGGCTGCATGGCTAACTACAGTATCGTTTTTAGGATCGACATCTGTATATGAAATACTAGACGATCCTTGTGTCAATGAAGAGCAATCCTGAGGTTTTTATTCTGCTGTTTTGAGGCAAGTAGGTGAGGTTAGAAGTCAGTTTGTATAGAGCTGAAAAGACTAAGATACTTGGTTTTTTGTTTTGTTTTGTTTTGGAATTCAAGATTTTTGGGAAGATGTCAGGTGAAAAGACCCAGCAAGATCCTTTCTCTTTGTCAACAATTGTTACCTTCTGGGTTGTTTGGGAGGGATGGAACCAACGATATTGAGTGTATGACTTATTATTTGTGGAATTGCCAGGCTGTATTTTTGCTGGATGTAGAAGGAGGAGGGGAAAAAACCCATGTTGGTTTCAGCCTTTGTTAGGCGAGCAAGTACAAAGTCAACTTTATATTGGGGATTTTTGGTTGCCAACTTCTCAACTTGTCCTTGAACATCAACCCGAGGAAGAGGCATTCATGATGGCGAAGGATGGTTGCCATGCTGCAAATAGCTTCCCTTGCTGAGGGCATTTGGCAACAAAAGGGGGCATGGGCAGTGTTCTTGTGTTCGAGTTAAAAAGTGTTACTCTGGTGCGAATGCGTTTTTGGTTTGGGATGGTTGTCAACATGGTATGGAATGCAAAGCAGACCTTTTAATGTGTATATGTGTGTGTGTGTGTGTGTGTGTGTGTGTATATATATATATATATATATATATATATACACACACACATACACAGGGCCAATATAGACCACAATTTTTATATTGTTTCCGAAAGTGCCAAGCTATCCATCTAGCTCACATCTGTCTTGGAATTGAAGCCACTACTTAGACTTCACAAACGCTCAAAAGGACAAGACCGTTTCTTTCTTCCATCTCAGTTCTAACTTCTCCAATATGAATCTTTAGAGAATCCTAAAACCCAGCTGCTATGTCACGGAAACCAAAACAAACCCATCACTTTTAGCAGCATTGGCATTAAAGTGTTCAGGAGCACACACCCACCAGCCTCAAATGGATTAGCATTCTCCCTGGCATGCTGGTTTTCCCTTTGCAGGAAGATTTGGGCACAAGCTTGCATCCAGTCAGGAACTCCTGCATTGGAGAGAGTACTGTCACACAAGAGGACTGTACCATGAGAGCTGCTGTGCATTGAGAAATCATAAGCACTACAGCGGAAGCCTGCTTGCTGGATAGCTTTGTGCTAACCCACATAAGAGATGGCATTCTGAGAAAAGCTTGGTGCTCACAGCATGTCTTTTAGATGTCTCATCTCATGGAGAATAGTAATGGTACTGCAAGACCCCAGGTTAGCATTGTTATGATGGCAATATATTCATTAACATTTCTCCCTGTTTAATGGCAATAATTGAAAGTGGGCTGTTTTGAATTCATGTGCATTGGGGTATTATGTGCTCTGTTTTGCTGGGTC